AATTGCGCTCGTATTGTACGGTTGGAAGAAAAAAAATCGAAAAAAATAAAAGTGGATATAAAGAACATTTGAATCATGCATTCGATACAGCTTTATCAATTGTATATAATTCAAAAATTTTCCCGACTGTCAGGTTGTTTTCGAAGAACGAACTATGTAAATGAGTTGTTTTCAATAGTCTTTTGCGATAATAATGAGGACACAGAATCATCAACAATATTTATATTTATTTCAGAAATAGAAAAGGGTTCACAATATAATAGTACCTAAATTAATTTAAACAGTTCATGTGTATAGGAAAACATGCTCAACTGTCGATCACTATTTATCACAAATTTAAAACCTAAAAATTTGTTCGTATCAAAGTTTCATTTTCATCTGATTTGTTTTTCACAAATATTTGTCCATTTGGTTTGACAATAATTTCATGAAACATAGACGTTCCTTTAATGACTTTTAATGATGGAATTTGTGCTCTCAATGAATCTATATCTTCTTTTTTGTATAAGTAAAGTCGAATGTTTGTAGAATTCTTTATTTTGTGCATCAAATCTAAAGCATCGCTAAATGATTCATCTGGATTTAATCGAATTTGATTATCAAATAAACGTTTTATAGCAGAACCGACAGCATCGGCTACACCTTTGCCGTGGCCTCCCTCGAGAAACAACCATCTGAATGTAATTTTTTTACTGGTGGCAAAATTCTTTAAAAAGTAAATTGTAGTTTTATTTCTGTATTGACTGGATGGAGAATCGGAGACTATATTCAATTCGATAACATGTTTGGCAGCTTTACCACCTACCAGTTCGTCCAATAATTCACGAATCGCTGACCACGTACATTCTGATAAATGACTCGTTTCATCTGATAAACATCCGAAGCTAAAACAATTATCTTTTTGCCACACAGAGCCCGCCGCTATTGAGATTTGTTGTTCATGATAGTATGCTGCTGAAAAGTGGAAAGTTTTCGGATGATTTCAGACAGTATGGATTAGATTTTTTAAAGGAACTCACAGCGTTCTTCTCACACTTGTTTTAAATGATAATTTTCTGACCAATCGATTTGCAGCGTTACAACATTGTCATTTGTTAATGCTGATTGTCAAAAAAATTCTGCACCTTTGAATTGAGCATGAACATATTCCATATGTTTTTGAAGTTTCTAAATATTAAATAATCAACAACAACGATGAACGTTGTCTCCGTTCGACCTTTCTGTGAAATACTTACAGTTATTTCTTCAGAAAACTTTGTACAAAATATTTCTATTTTATCTGTAATGGTTGTTTTCGTAGAAATGAGGCCACTACTTCTTTTCACTTTTCCTTTTAATCCATTCCACATAGGTGATCATGAACGTTTCTGCTTTCAGTCTATGTAATTCTTCTAAAATTTCATTCACTGTTTTTTCATCATTAATAATTGATGTTAAATCATTT